AGGAGAAAGCAGTCAAGAATGACCCTGTTTTCTGCTTTGAACGACTGAGTACAGGTGTCAGTACCAGAGGAGATTTGCAGGTTAAGATGATGAGGTTCCATTTTGGACGCTTTGAATTTGAGATGCCTTTGAATCATCTAAGTGGTGTTGTCTTTGAAGTAGCTGGACATAGAGGGCTAGAGGAGGGCTTGGACTGGAGTTAGCCTGTTCATGATAATTGAAGCCTGGGAAGTAGAGGTGGTTTCACCCAGGGAAAGCATATCAAGTGTGAGGTAACAACCTAGACTTGAACCTGAAGAATGCAAATATATTAGGGACATGCAGGAGAGTAAACTGAAGACAGATGGCTAGAGCAAGGGAAGAAAACAAGAATGTGATGTCATCAAAGCCAAGAAAAAAGAATGGTCAGTAGTGTCAAAAGCTTCCTAGAGGGGCACCCAATTGGCTCAAAGTAAAGCATTGAACACTTGAGCTCGATATCATGAGTTCAAGACCCACATAGGGGTAGAGTTTAGTAAAAAACAAAAACAAAAAATCCTTCCTAGAGATCAAGCAAGGTAAGGAAAGATCCACTGAGTTTAGTGACCCGAAGGTCATTTGTAACCTTGCAAGGCAGTTCAGGTAGAGTGGAGGGGCAGAAACCAGACTACAGTGGACTGAGGATGATTGGGCAGTGAAAAATGCAGAAAATGATGCAACACGGATTATTAATCTCAAAATTAGTATGTTGAGCAAAAGAAGCCTACTCCAGAGTACATACTATAGAGTGCATTTGGATGAAATTCCTAAGCAGGCCAAACTAATTTATGCTGACAGCAACAGGTCAGTGGTTACCTGAGACCAGGGGTGGGGAAGGGGAATTGACTATAGAGGGGCACAGGGCAACTTTTGGGTCTGATGGAAATGTTCTATAGTTTTAATGGGGTTATTACACAGATGTATGCCCTTGTCATTATTCACTGACCTGCACGTTTAAAATGGGTATATTTATTATATAAATTATACGTCACTACATCCTATTTCATGTTTTAAAATGTAGAAAATGAGGGGTGCCTCGCTGGCTCAGTCAGAGAAACATGTGACTCTTGATTTTGGGGTTGTGAGTTCAAGCCCATGTTGAGTGAAGAAATTACTTAAATAAAAAACTTTTAAAAAACATGAAAATGTAGAAAATGAGTATAATTCATTAAATGACTCAATTTGTGAAGAGGTAGTAGCTGTAAAGGCATTTGTGTAAAAAGTTGAGTGTTTTTATTTAAGATTTATTATTTATTTTGGGAGAGAGTGGGGGAGAGGCAGAGGGACAGAATCCTTAAACAGACTCCCTGCTGAGCATGGAACCCAATGTGGGGGCTCCGTCTCATGATTCATGAGATTGTGACCTGAGCTGAGTCAGACACTTAACCAATTGAGCCACCCAAGCATCTTTATCTTTTTATATAAAAGATTTATTCCAGAGGGGCACCTGGGTGGCCTGGTGGATTAAGCATCTGCCTTCATCTCAGGTCATGATCCTGGAGCCCCAGGACTGAGCCCAAAGTTGGGTGCTGTGCTCAGCAGAGAGTCTGCTGCTTCCTCTCCCTCTCTCAAATAAATAAATAAAATCTTTTAAAAGCCGGGGGGGGGGGCACCTGGGTGGCTCAGTGGGTTAAACCTCTGCCTTCAGCTCAGGTCATGATTTCAGGATCCTGGGATTGAGCCCCACATCGGGCTCTCTGCTCAGCAGGGAGCCTACTTCCCCCTCTCTCTCTGCCTGCCTCTCTGCCTACTTGTGATCTCTCTCTCTCTGTTAAATAAATATTTTTTTAAAAAGGCGGGGGGGATTTATTCCAGAGAGAGAGAGAACACGGTGGGGAGAGGCAGAAGGTGAAGGAGAGAGAAACTCAGACTCTCTCTGCTCTGAGCATGAGGGACTGAGGCACCCCATGATTGATTGTTTTTAGATGGAAGAGACTTGAGCCAGTTAATTTTTTTTTAAAGATTTTATTTACTTATTTGACAGAGATCACAAGTAGGCAGAGAGGAAGGCTCCCCGCTGAGCGGAGAGCCCAACATGGGGCTCGATCCCAGGACCCTGAGATCATAACCTAAGTCGAAGGCAGAGACTTAACCCACTGAGCCACCCACGTGCCCTGCCTTGAGCCTGTTTAAATGCTACTATAATTAAGCAAGAGGAAGTAGCTGAAATCAAAGGAAAGAGGGTAAAAGAGACAGCAAATGAAGGAATGTGATAAAGCATGTGCCACATCAAAAACTATAGCAGGGGCACCTGGGTAGCTCAGTTGATTGGGCATCCGACTTTTGGTTTCAGCTCAGGTCATGGTCTCAGGCGCCTGTCAGGCTCCGCTGGGTGTGAAGCCTGTTTGAGAGTCTCTCTCTCCCTCCTCCCCTCTCCCCTCTCATTCACATGTGTTCTCTAAAATGGATTAAAAAAAAAAAAAAAAAAAAAAAAAAAACTATAGTAGGTTAATACAGTGCCAAAACCTCAGTTCTCAGAACTTCCCAGTATAGAAAGTTTATCTTTATGTTTATGTTCCAAAATCATTTCCTTATTTTTTTTTTTTTTATAATTTATTTGACAGAGACTGCAAGAGAGGGAATACAAGCAGGGGGAGTGGGAGAGGGAGAAGCAGGCTTCCTGCTGAGCAGGGAGCCTGATGTGGGGTTTGATCCCAGGGCCCAGGGATCATGACCTGAGCCAAAGGCAGATGCTTAAGGACTGAGCCACCCAGGTGCCCCCATCATTTCCTTGTATTTCTAAAACTGAGTTCAGCTAATTCTTTTTGGTAAGTCCATAAGAGGCACAGGTTTGAATATATATGAATAAAAATGGTTTGAACAAATTATTTAAACTATAAAAACAAAACAAAAAAACCTATCTATAATCCAGAAGGCAGATGGCAATAGGATTTAAGAGTTCATGATAAAAAAAGAATGAGTAAGATAAATGAGGTAAAATGATTACAATAGTAGGATTTTCTTATTTATGTATTTATTACAACCACCTTGTTGGCATTCCCATTTTATAGAAGAGCAAATAAGCTCATGTCAACTAACCTGCCCAAGATAATATAGCTGGGAAATTATAAAAGTGGATTAAAACCTAGGTCTCTGTTACTTCAGACCCATGATATCTTATTCCGGTTAGGCTATTTTGCCTCAAATCTTTATTATATATACAATATTGTAACAATAAAGGAAATCCGGGGCACCTGTGTGGCTCAGTGGGTTAAAGCCTCTGCCTTCAGCTCAGGTCATGATCTCAGGGTCCTGGGGTCGAGCCCTGCATCGGGCTTTCTGCTCGGCAGGGAGCCTGCTTCCTCCACTCTCTCTGCCTGCCTCTCTGCCTACTTGTGATCTCTGTCTGTCAAATAAATAAATAAAATCTTTAAAAAAAAATAAAAATAGGGACGCCTGGGTGGCTCAGTTGGTTAAGCCACTGCCTACGGCTCAGGTCATGATCCCAGGGTCCTGGGATGGAGCCCCGCATCGGGCTCCCTGCTCAGTGGGGAGCCTGCTTCCTCGCCCCCCACCTACCTCTCTGCCTGCTTGTGATCTCTCTCTCTCTGTGTCAAATAAATAAATTAAAAAAACCTTCTAAAAAAATAAATAAAAAATAAAAATATAAATAAAGGAAATTAAAGCATCAACCTACTCTAATCCTCTTGCTTTCTTCATTTTACCAAAGTAAAACATCTTCAGATAATATTATACTCATGCCCATGAAATAAAGCAAGGGAAAAAATGTTAAGTATTTCTATCTTTTTGATCCATTAATTGAATAAATGCTTGTTTGACCTCTTAATACTGCTGTTTTCGTGTTAATCTTGTAACTGCTTTATGAATAGATCCGCTCAGATTGGACGCCTCCGTATGAGTAGTACTCACTGAGCCGTGTATTCAAAATACTGAATAATGCTACGTGTACAGTCACTGTGGAAGGTGCTTTGGAGACCACAGTGATGAATGAGACATGATGCTTACTGTTTAGCAGCCTGCAGTCCAGGGGAAAAGAAGTCCTAAGACATGCCTATGAGAAACTGACATGGACCACGAAGTGGGCACAAAGACTGCTGCTGATTCACAGAAAGAGTAATTTCTGTTTGAGGATGTTAGAAGCAAAGAGAAAATTGAGGAGAACAGTGTAATAGTTCAGCCAAAAGATTATCAGTGCTTGAACTAGAAGAGAGGCAATGAGGACTGGTGGGGGAAAGGATAGTAGAACACTGCAGAAGCAGAAATTGCTGATTAGATATGGAGAGGAAGGAGACAGGAATACAGAATGAAGTCAGCATTTACTTGGTCAGCCAAGGGCATGGTGGAGCCTTTCACACTGACAGACAGTTCAAGAGGAAGAGCAGTTTCACAGATTAGAAGGCAGAAGTCAGTACGCTCATTCCATCTCCCTCTCTGTAGACTTCCTCCCTGCGGCCTGAGTGGTGGCCATCTTCCTATACTGACAAGGGTCGATTCTGTCACCCTGTGGAGGTAATAGTCCCCAGATGGTGCTAGCCCCTGGAGGCTTCACAACTTGTTGACTGTAATTCAGCCCACATTTTTCTATACCCCTTCATTAACTCCCTGCAGTAACCCTATCTGTTACTCCTTTCTGTCGGGACCTTAAACATATATTTGTGTATTTTTAAATAAAGCGTATATATGTATGTATGCGTGTACGTACGTACGTACGTATATAATTGTATGCTCGTATATAGGAAATATCTGGAAAGATACACACCAAACTGTTAGCAACAGTTTCTACCTGGTAATGGGGATGCAAAAGGGTAGGGACAAGGGATAAGAAAAAAGACGCCTTTTATTTTATATTCTGTACCATTTGAGTTACTTAAAACAGTTTGTATACTTTGAAAATAAAAATAATAGTTTTAAAAGTAGATCAGAAGCATCAATCAGCCTAATACAAGAAGTTCAGTAAATTCACTGAAAGGATGAAACCTCCCTAAGAAACACTCGGTCGACAAAATTACAGAGAAAAACCCTAAACTTAAACAAAAATTTAATGATAAATACATATTGAAAGATGATTAAATTCTTGAATGATGGCAGCATCCAAGGACTCTCTCCATTCTCATGGCTCCCAGCCCTTCCCTCCAGGCTGCTGGGGTAACTTGAGACCCACTAAGCCAGCGGACTCCTCCACTGAGCGCTCACCCTTGCCATGAAATTCCTGATGAAGGGCCACGTGTTCTCGAATGCTGCGTAGGAGGCAGAGATAGGTGGCGGCTTGGAAATGAAGCTCGTGTTGGGCTCTGCACAGCTTCTCACTGGTAACCTAGAAAGTAGCAAGGTCACAGACTTTATTAGCAGCCCAGCCAAGATACATGGCCACAAAGATTTCATAAGCATTCTCTAGAGTGAAAGTAAATGCAGAGAGGAAATATAAACATGTGTATGTGTATACTAATTACATATGTAGAGACATCCTGTAGTTGATTGAGAAAGCTGACCTCCAATTAATTGAAGAGGAATTTTACGAGGAATATCACTGAAGAGTTTGAGCGTCCTCAGATTTTAATACCCCAAAAAAGTTATTTCAACTCCCTTGTCTTGCAAATGTTTTACAAATAAGGAAACTAAAGCCCACAGAGACTTCAATGGTTAGCTACTGGCAGAGATGGGGAACTATAATCATTAATGTCACCTAAGGAATAAAATATAGAACTTCCTCCCCTTCAAATGAAAGTCTGCTTTTTATATTTCTGACTTTGGTTAATGTGGTATAGGTCTTTCATTTCACTGAAAAGTAAAACCATTTTGTCTGGAAATAATAGCTTTGTCCTCAACAGTAACAAAATGAAGGTTTTATATATAAAAGTAATATGCATATATTTGTATTACTTATTTTTTTTAAAGATTTTATTTATTTATTTGATAGAGATCACAAGTAGGGAGAGAGGCAGGCAGAGAGAGAGGAGGAAGCAGGCTCCCCCCCGAGCAGAGAGCCCAACGTGGGGCTCGATCCCAGGACCCTGGAATCATGACCCAAGCCAAAGGCAGAGGCTTTAACCCACTAACCCACCCAGGCGCCACTTAATTATACTTTCTATATACTTATCCATCTGCCAAATCCAGATTCTGATGACCGTAAGTAGCTGGAAACTATATCCTTTCAGAAGTCCCCAATGACTCCAAACCTTGTTTTCTCTTCTTCCTAATTAATCTCGATTTAGTACACTGGCCTTTACTTAACTAGTTTTGTGTTCTGAGGTTGTGAGCAGAGGGCAGAAAAGGTGAAATAGATGTGTGCATGGCTTCAAGTGACTTGAGGCCTGTGTATATCGAACTGCAGATTAATCTCTGGGCACCAGTGCCTATGCAAACCCCTTTCTTTCACGTTTCTTTATTTGAATATGTAGGGTTAGAATCTGAAAATTAGAAAGTGTGGTTTAAGATCTGAAGAGCCCACACAAAAATGTGCAGATCACATATGTGAAAATGGCACTCAAACTGCTTGAAAAAAGAATTCATCTTTAATCATTTAACTTTTTATAATTAAAAATTTATGAGCAACCAACACCAGTGTCAAACATTAACAAATGGTAATATCCATGTCTATTATATAAGCCCAACTGACAGGATTTGAAACAGCAATTCTGCACTAGTGTAGGAGAATACGGATCTTGACTCAGCTGAACTTGAATCATGAGTGAGGAGAGAAGGGTCAACAATATAAACAGAAAGTGGGGTGACTAGGGGGCTTAGTGGGTTGAGTATCTGCCTTCAGCTCAGGTCATGATCCCAGGGTCCTTGGATTGAGTCCAGCATCGGACTCCCTGCTCTGTGGGGAGTCTTCTTCTCTTTCTCAAAAATTTTTAAAAATCTTAAAAAAAAAAAATATATACACAGTAAGTGACTAAAAAGGACCAAAAAAGACCAAATGAAAAAGAAAACTCAGGGTGCCTACATGGCTCAGTCGGGTAAGCATCCGACTCTTGGTTTCAGCTCAGGTCATGATCTCAGAGTCCTGGGAGAGAGTGCTGCTCTGTGCGGAGGCCGCTTGAGATCTCTCTCCCTCTCCTGCTTGTCCCATCTTGCTCTCTCTCCAATAAATAAATCTTTAAAAAAAAAAAAAGTAAAAGAAAACTGTATTTTCCTCTAAGGAGAAAGCAGAGGTTCTTTCCCAAATGAACCCCTTCAGTTTAAGAAAAGATAAAGAAAATGGGCATAGATGGTTATTGAATTAGCTCTGAGCCAGCAGAAACAGAAAGCATTCCCCATAGCCTTATATGCATTGCACAGAATGGTGTTTCTGGAATTTGTAGCATGAATTTCAAATGTATTTCCAAGGAATTTGAGAGCCATTACCAAGTCTCTCTCAAGGGCAATAATGTTGCCTCCAGAAAGTACAACTATAATCATGTCACCTTAAAAATCTTAGAATGATGGTGCCTGGGTGGCTCAGTCAGTTAAACATCCACTTCAGCTCAGGTCATGATCCCAGGGCCCTGGGATCAAGTCCTGAATCCAGATCCCTGCTCAGTGAGGAGTCTGCTTCTCTCTCTCATCTCTCTCTCCTTCTGCCCCGCAACCCCACCCTTGACTTTACTCCTGAAATCCCACTACTTCTTTATAGGAGGACCTCCTATTGTTTATTAAGTGCTTTGCTGTAAGGCTCCTCAGTTGGACTGCAAGCTTTGTCTTAAAAGACAGGATTCATGTCCATCTTACTCATGATTTTAGGCAAGTTCCTAAAGTCCCTACCATTTGGGCCTTTTAAAAATTTCTGAATTTTAGAGGTGACTGGGTGGCTCAGTCAGCTAGGCATTAGACTTGGTTTTTCAGCTCAGGTCATGGTATTGGGGTCCTGGGATCAAGCCCCGTGGCAGCTCCACACTTAGCGTGGAGTCTGCTTGAGACTCTTGCTCTCTCCCTCTTCCTCTGCCACTTGCCCACTCTCTCTCTCTAATAAATCTTAAGAAAAAGGAAAATTTTGAATTTTAGCCCCATGTGGGCATAGAGTTTACCCAAATAAATATATGCATATTTTTAATTTAAAAATTAAAAAATTTTTGAATTTTAGTTCTAAAACATTGCACTCTAACTTCCATGGCTCAAAGATTGAGCGAGATGCTGGTTCTCCTTTTTCCCACATTGTTCAAATGACAGTAAGCTACCTACCCTACAGCCCAAAGTGATTCTCTAACCTATATTTCAGAGATTCCTTTCAAATTCCTTCAAAGCCTGATCTGAAAATCCACAGGCAACAATTAAACGGAAGCACCCTATCTGTGAACGGAGGTTCTAGCTGTTCCTATGCATGTACCCTCACTGGTCAGTGTCCCTGACCCTCAGTTGTCCCACCTGAAAAATAAAACCGCTTCCACCTGCTCTTGCCTAAGGGGAATATGGACTGTGGGATTCACAAAGCAATTTCCCAAGGATGGCTTCCCATATGTTCAAGTTTATCTGCTATGTAAGGAAAAAATGTATCCGGTCAGATAATCACGTTAATGTTGGGACAGCACAATCTCATGCCAGGTTTCTAGTTCAGCTCTACAAGGCACCATTTCCTTAAATGGGGTATGGGATACAACATAGTGTCTGCCAAGTTAATATTTCTCATCTTATTACACTTCTCTATTCTGCATCAAAAACTGGTTTTCAGAGTAACTACTAGAGGATGGGCGAAGAGAATGGTGGATAAACGCTGTAGCTAGTAACCCTACACTCTCCAAGTACATCTCTTCTTTTCCCCCATCTCTTCGACTTCACTTATCTTTCTCCTCTGCACCTGCAGAAGACCAGCCAATAAAATCCTCGGGACGTCTCCATCCCACAGCGACTTTCCTGTCCGGCTGGTCCTTGGTTAGTTCCTGGGAGACCCGGGCCTAGGGCCTGGATTTATTTGGCCAGAACCCGGGCTGGGTGGGAGGGTCCCCAGTGCTCCCAACCCCTGCCCATATTCCCCACCCACTCCCACCCCCGTCCCCACTCCCACCCCCAGTGGAAAGGACGCTGGACTCAGGAACCCGACTCAGGCTTCCGTACCCGATGTGCACGGAAAGCTTTCACGAGGTACCGATAGGCCGCGGTGTCGCGATAGGGTCGGCCCGTGGCCTCGTTCATGTAGCGCAATTCCCGTAGAAGACCTCGTAAAGTGCGCGCCGGGGACCCCAGGGCCGCCATTTTCCCGTCCTCGGAGCGCGGTGCCCAATGGCGCCCTACGCCCCCTCTAACTCCCTCCCCCCCAGCTCAGCCGCTAAATGGTACAATCGGACGCAGACTACTGGGTCCCCCCATCGAACGCAGAGTAGTGGAATATCTCACTTCCCTTCTCTGCGGGGCCTTACTAATCAAACACCGAGCGGCACCCTAAGGAGTTAAGGGAGAAGCAAACGAAAGCCGAGTTTAACTGACTCACCGGGTCCGTAAGAAAAAGAAAGGCTGGGCCAGAGGAAAGGTTCTTCGCTGACTACGTCATTTAAAACGTCATTAGCTGACCGCTGAGTCTCGAGAATAAGTGCGCCTGGTGGGAGTGGGTGTTGATTTGAAACAGAACACGAAAGATACGTTTTGGTACCTAGAGGGGATAGCAGAATTCAAAGTACTGACTTCCCAGAAACCTTAGGCACTATACGACTCAGAAGAAGGAAATGGGAGTATTCTTATTCTCTCAAACTGTAGCCCATCACCTAGGAAAACCACACATATCCTTCCCATTTTTAAGAAAGTAAAATTAAGTTAGCATATTT